CAGTTCGATTCCCAGGCACATGCCCAAGTTTCGGGCTTGATCCTCAGTAGGAGGCATGCAGGAGGCAGCCGATTAATGATTCTCTCTCATCATTGAAGCTTCTATCTCTCTCTCCCTCTCCTTTCCTCCCTTAAATCAATAAAAACATTTTTTTAAAAAAGAATCAACTTAAAATAGGCCAAAGATGACCTAAATTTTCATCCCCACTTATACTATTTCTAGGGTTTTCAGTCTTCTTTACCTCAATGTCATCATACTCAAGAATCTTGCATAACATAGGTTTGCAAGAACACATATTGACTTGAACTTATCATGAGCTAACCTCCAAAACAGAACACCTTGTCTATGTGCAATTGAGCCCTCAATGCACAACTTCTGCAGGCAAGCTGTAATTCTGAGATTGCTTAGAAAATCAAGAGAATTGATTCTGTAGTGAGTGCTACCTGCAATGTAGCTAAACCAAGGCCCTGTAAGTTCTACCCAAGACCCAGTCCACAGCAGCCCTTAGCCCTCCAGCAAAACATGCTTATGAAACAGTTTTGGTTTCCAGTTACAGGAAGATGAAGATCAGTCAGCCACTCAAATTCCAAACCAAACCCTGAAAAAGCCACGTGGTAAAAATCACTATTAATAAAACATGCAAGTGGCTCTCAAATAAGTGTTATTAACTGGAGACAAGATTTCGGGGTGAAATGCAGCCTCATCTGCTGGCCTCGAGCTATTAAAAGGCGAATTCAGAAGAATGGAAAGAAACTCCACTGAAACTAAGACTCATCTTTCCACTCATTGCCTCATTCAGGTAGAATGAGAATGCAAATAACCATGCAATAGCTTTAAAAAAAATTGCCAATTTTTCCACTTCTGCTACAACCATGTGGGGAACTTCTAGTAATAGAGAAATGCTCATTTGCATCCAGACCTGCTCCTCCTCCTCTGCTGTTTCCCATCTCAGAAAATAGCACCTCCATCCACCCAGTTACTCCTGCTAGTCTGCAAGCCTTCTTCTCTGACCTGTCCCTTATCCAATCCAGCACTAAGTCCTATCAATTCTTCCTTGACCTCTATTACCACCGTCACAGCCCAAGACACCATTACTCCTCACCTGATGAATCTATGCAGCAACTACCAAACTGAATTCACCACTCCAACTCTTGCCATTCTCTAGTCCATTTCCTTATATAGCCACAGTAATCTGTTTTAAAAAAGCAAAAACAAAACAAAAACTTACACTATCACTTCCTTCTTTCCCCCCTTTATCTCCTGCCACTCTTCCTCTTACTGCACTTCAGCAACAATGAACTTCCTATCAGGTTATTTTCCACCTCAGGACCTTTGCACATGACATCATCCATGCATTCCTGACATGACTGTTTCTTCTTTGCATCCCCATTCTTAACAATCCAGATCATAGCTTAATTTGCCTTCTCAAGAAAACTTTCCCTCGCCCCCAAATGGTCAACTCCCTCTGTTGTGTTCTCTCGTCACATTCTTTACTTTTCTTTCACAGCATTTATAAAGCTTTGAAGTTACCTGTATTTTGTGTGAGGTTATATGATTAATGTCTAACTCACCTACTAAACTATGAATGACACAAAGGCAAGGACTATGTCTATTCTGTTTATCATGGTATCCTAATAGTGAGATAGTAGGGTGTTCAGTAAATGTATGTTTTTGGAATAAATCTATGTAGTCACTAAGGAAGCTTACTCAGGGCTATAATTGAATTGTGTCTATCCCCTCCACCCCCCACACATTCATGTGTTGAAGCCTTAAGCCCCAATGTGAATGTACAGTGAGATAGGGCTTTTAAGAGGTAATTAAGGCCCTAACTGGTTTGGCTCAATGGATAGAGCATAGGTCTGCGGACTGAAGGGTCCCAGGTTCGATTCCGGTCAAGGGCATGTACCTTGGTTGCGTGCACATCCCCAGTGGGGAGTGTGCAGGAGGCAGCTGATCGATGTTTCTAACTCCCTATCCCTCTCCCTTCCTCCCTATAAAAAGTCAATAAAATATATTTTTTTAAAAAAGAGGTAATGCCGAACCGGTTTGGCTCAGTGGATAGAGCGTTGGCCTGCGGACTCAAGGGTCCCAGGTTCGATTCCGGTCAGGGGCATGTGCCTTGGTTGCGGGCACGTCCCCACTGGGGGGCGTGCAGGAGGCAGCTGATCGATCTCTCATCGATGTTTCTGGCTCTCTATCCCTCTCCCTTCTTCTCTGTAAAAAAATCAATAAAATATATTTTTAAAAAAAGAGGTAA